CATTCAGTTTTTCCTATTTTAAAATCATATCTTACCAACAGAACTTTCCAAATTAAACATCAAAATTACTTAACTGACCTTTACCCTATAGAATCAGGAATCCCCCAAGGAAGCGTGCTTGGACCATACTTGTATATTCTCTATACATCGGACCTACCAGAAAGTGTAAACACTATGGTTCAGCACACATTACTTTTACCTTAAATCAGGCTACATGTCCTCCAGTATCCATGAACAATATTCACCTCCCTCAAGTAACGGAAATAGAATACTTGGGCATGCACTTAGATGCAAAGCTTAATTGGAAGGCACATATCTGGACTAAAAGGCAACATCTAAATTTAAAAACAACTAAACTTAATTGGCTTCTTGGATCTAAATCAAAACTCAGTACACAAAATAAATTGTTACTGTACAAAACAGTTTTAAAACCAATTTGGACTTATGGTATTCAGCTTTGGGGATCAGCAAGTACCTCAAACATTGAAATTATTCAACGTTACCAATCAAAATTATTACGTAAAATTGTCAACGCTCCTTGGTTTGTTACCAACAGAACACTTCACAATGATCTTCAAATTCGAACAGTAAAAGAAGAAATTACAAAATATAGTGAAAAATACATTATAAAATTGGAAAATCATTCAAATCATCTTGCACTTAATTTATTGGACAATCACAACACCATTTACAGACTGAAGCGACATACGATATTGGACCTACCATTCAGATTCGGCCACCACCGACAAAATGTGCTATCAAAATTCAAAAGTGTTATCAAAATTCTCTTTGTTTGCTAGTGTTGACGGTGGTCAATCACTAGCTCATGTTCTTCAAGTTATTTTTGTATTACTATTTATATCATTTGCTTATTGTTCAACTTGAACAGATTATAAATAAAATAAAGAAAAGAAAAAAAAATTCTAAAGGCCCAACTAAAAATTCAGAACAATAGAATACACAACAATAGAACAATAGAACAGGTTCACCGAGTTGTTGACGTGATACGTCAATGTATGGAAGATAAAAAGTTTTGTTCAGCTGCCTTCTTGGATGTTAGCCAGGCATTCGATAAGGTGTGGCATGTTGGCTTGTTATATAAAGTAAAAAAGTTTTTATCCCATTCAATTTATAGCATTTTAAAATCCTACCTTCAAAACAGGACTTTCCAAATTAAATATCAAGACGTCCTCACTAACCTACGTCCAATTGAATCTGGGATTCCTCAAGGAAGTGTTCTCGGGCCGTTTTTGTATATTCTCTACACAGCAGATCTCCCAGAAAATGAGTTTGTAGAAATTGCTACATTTGCGGATGATACTGCGGTTTTGTCTGTTCATCATGATCCATTTCAAGCTTCTCTAAATTTACAGCAAAATCTGAACATAATTACTGATTGGTTTAAGACATGGAGGTTCAAAATTAATGAAACTAAATCTGTCCACATTTCTTTTACTCTAAATCAAAATTCTTGTCCTCCTGTCACAATAAACAACACCCAACTTCCCGAAGTAACTGAGGTTAAACACTTAGGTATCCATTTAGATAGGAAGTTAACTTGGAAAACACACATTTGGAGAAAACGGCAACAACTAAATTTAAAATCTAATCAGTTAAATTGGCTCATCGGAAGAAAATCAAAACTTAGTCTAGAAAATAAATTGTTGCTATATAAAACTATATTGAAACCAATCTGGACATATGGAGTTCAACTATGGGGCTCAGCGAGTACTTCTAATATAGAAATTCTCCAAAGATACCAATCGACAATGCTGAGGAAGATAACAAATGCACCATGGTATGTCAGCAATAGAACACTACATCAAGACCTTAAGATGCCTACAGTTAAGGACGAAATCATGACCATGAGTGAACGATATATTACGAAATTGGAATCTCGTCAAACTCATTTAGCTCTTAACTTATTAAACAACATGGATACAATTTACAGGCTTAAGAGGCCATCAATTCTGGACCTGCCCTACAGATTTTTGTAAAGTGTTTTTATTGAAAAATTTGTTGTTGAGAGTGCTTAACAGCTATTTTTAATGTTCCAAAGTCAATTTTTCGTATTACATAGTATTTACTTATTGTTCCGTATATAATAGAACAGATTGTAAATTAAATAAAGTTAAAAAAAAATTTTAAAATGTAATTAAGCAGAACTAATAAACTGTCAAATGAATTTTGATTTCACAATGCCACACAGCTGGTTCAAACAAACTAACTACTGCAGAACAGAGAGGGTAAGGATTATAAATTTAAAATAATGATGTCACTAGCCCTATTGTAAACATTATTTAACATTACTTAAATGGAGCTGTCAAACCATAATATGTTAATGTAATTTCATAAGTATATGATTCTTTCAGTTACTTCATTTGTTTATGTTTATGATCTATTATACTGAGTATGTTATAATATCTGTGAAATGCTGTAATAATGTTTTACTGGGAAACATTTGTTGTAAAAAAATCATTTATAGATACCGGTATAGGAACTAATTAATATTCTACTAGTGTCCCTGTTGCTCGAAATCGAGCAATTGCTAAGTATTACAGGCGTTATTTTAAAACGAATAACAGTCATATTTTTTATGACTATAAAAGATTCGACTCAAAGATTATGGAATACTCAAGATGTACATAACGATCGATATAATCAACATTTCTTGTAAATATCTTATCATTTTTCAAAAGCTGATTTTGTTTTTTAGTGTTTATAACACACATTACTTCTATTTCTTCCCCTTGGTGGTGTTCTATGACTTTCCTATGTTTCCATAGTTTGCAAATCGTCTCTTTCAATGATTACTAAGAAATGCAGCACAGTGTTAATTCAGTTTTCTTTTTAGTATATCAATTTATCCAGGCTCTCTTGTTTTTTCCCATTGTAATAATTACGCCAACCCAAATTCAAATAGTAACTATTTCATTTCAACCGAGTAAGTAAATGTTTGTGGCAAACTAACTGTTAAATTAGCAAACTTATTGACTATTTACAATTAACATATGTTCTTCTTCTCACTTTTAATTTCTGACAACAGCTGGAGTTTCATAACAATATTTGTTTCCCATGTTAATCTTATGGAGAAATACGAAACTTTAAAGGGCCCCAGGGCCTCACTCCCTAATTATTTCCGTAAAAAGAATGTTTCCTGCACAACTTCACGTTACGCTCTTTCCAATGACACCAAGAACATGTAAATCGGTTCAGTAGTTTCGGAGGAGTAATTGTCACAAAAAACCTGCTTGCGTATTAAATAAGTATAGATAATCATTGCCGTATCAACCTAGGCCCTTATCGTGAGTTTTATGAGGTTTATTTCTTTGAATTATTTTTGTGTAAACCAGTAATATATAATCCCCCTGCCGCAGCAAATCTATAGACTGAGCGAATTTCCATTTGCCTGATTATAATTTCACAAAAATATGTTAGAAAATTACCCATAATTTTCCATATTTATTTATATTTTCCTTTTTTCTATTTTTTGGTTTGGAACTATTGGGATAGATTTTCGTTTACAGTGAAAACCATTAAACACGTTCTTTTATTTTACCTTTAAATCCATCATTGGTTTTGTATCGTAGGGAGGCCGAGCCTAAATAAGTATTAACAGTATGAGTTAACAAAAACGTACTATTATCAAGTTAAGTAATACAGTTAAATTTTGTTTCTAAATTAAATGTTAGGAGTGAAACCATTTGGCATGTTCAAAGAACCTATGTGTATCTTTTGCATACTGCCCCGTTGCAAGGCATGGGTATAGCTGCTAGCAAATACGAATAGTAGCGCTGATTTGCAGTAGTAGTTCAATAAAATAACAAGCGACCGGCTGACCGGCGCAACTAATTGTGACCAACGGGATTGATTGATTTAGTATCTTATATGCATTAGAAATCATGTGCAAAGTCTTCTTTCTACATCAATTAAAATGCCATAATACCCCCACCGCAGCAAACCTGCAGCCAAAGCAAATTTCCATTTGTGTGGCTTTATTTTCAATTCAATCTAATTCAATAACGTTAGGTTTAACGAGTACCTAGGTTTGCTGCCTACAGGCGGGAGGGTAACGAAGTGTGATTTTTAGAAAAATATTATTAGCTTAGTATGAAATAAATAAATTTGCCAAGTTTAAAGAAAATCTATTCATAAACGAGCATTATTACAACAGTTTACTTATCCGACTATTAAATATTATAAGTAAGAAAGTTTGGATGTATATGGATGTATGGATGGATGGATGGATGTTTGTGACAAGTAAACGCGAAGAATACTAAACCGACAAGGTTGAAATTTGGTATGACGATAGCTGACATTCCCGATTAACATATAGACATATTCTTACCTCAAAAATCCTTTCAGGCTCCGCCCCTGTGGCTCTGGCCATGGAGTGTCTCATGTTAACCTTATGAGTATTCATATTTAAAGAAATTAAAGAATTTTGTCAGCCTTTTCAACTGCACAAGTTGGTTCTATGATATTAAATAACATAAAAAAGTTATAAGGCTTGCCAATAGGGTGCAACATTATTATGTTTTTGGCATTTATGACCACAGCTAATTTGAACCAACTAGCAACAAAAAGTTGTGGTACACAATGAGGACTTTACTTTTTTCCATGGTTTAGGTGCAGTGGTAGAGCATTAGGGCTATGGTAGATGTGTGTTACACTATAGGATACCGTATAAATTAAAAGACCAAATTGTCTTAAACCGCGTCTTCTCCCATAACTGCAATAAACATTTATACTTATATGCAAACCCCGTACGAAGGACGGGTACTCTGCTAGTTATAGATAAAACATAGTCTCTTAGCTATTAACCTACAAAATCAGAGCTATATTGCTTCGGTAGTTTAAGTGTGGTTGAAAGAACTGGGCGCTGGGAGGCAAAACACGATAATTCCTCGGACGATTCGGTAACGGGGATATTCCCCGCGAGCCGGGTAGATGCAGGGAGACGTCCGCTCAATTACCCACCCGAAACTGTTTTGTCCGGCTCACGCACTGTCCGCCTCACGCACGTCCGGGGGAAACACGGCATCGTGAAGAGGTTGGTGGAGCGAGTACCAGTGGGAACCCTGGTTCCCGACCTTTTGGAGTAGTTCTGGGCAATCAAGCTCAGAGGTGACCAGACGTTGGAGGAATAGTACGTCGTGGTTGAAGCGACGGGATTCCAGTGAAGGCAGCTTCAGGAGGGATTGCAGATCATCGATAGGAGCCTCAAGGAACCTGTATCCCAGGCGAGTACCCACGAGCCGCACAAATCTTCTTTGCACACTTTCCAGCTCATCCTTCAGATATTGTTGGTGAGGGGACCAGATAATGTCACAATATTCCAGGTGGGGTCTCACAAGGGAAAGAAATAGCAGCTTTAGCGAGTAGATGCTATTGAAGGTTGATGAGACTCGGTGAATTAGGCCGAGGTTGCGCAAGGCTTTGTTGCAGACAGAGTGGACTTGGCGATCCCAGCTGAGGTTTGGGGTGAACAACACGCCGAGGTCCACAATCTCTGAGCATCTAGCAAGCTCTTTGCCATCAATTGTATAGTTCCTCCGGACGGGGTTGGATATACGATGAAAGGTGATATAATTGCATTTGCTGACATTTAAGGACATCTTGTTCCTAATGCACCACCTGGCTACAGAATCTAGACTAACCTGGAGAATGTCGAGAACATCAATATATGAAATTGTTTGGTAGAGCTTAAGATCATCAGCGAATAGTTGGAAGCTGCATTGAAGGTCTGAGTGATATCATTTATAAACGAGATAAATAGTATGGGACCAAGCAAGGAATCTTGTGGAACTCCCGAGGTGGCATAAAAGTGATGAGAAAGTGAACCGTTGTACCTGACTTGTAGGACTCTGTCTTGCAAATAGATTTCGATCCATCGAATAAAACAGCCGTCAAAGCTGAAGGTCCTTAACTTTTCCACTAAGAGCCTACGACTGACACAGTCGAAAGCCTTCGCAAAATCGAGTTGGATTGCATCGACTTGGTAAAGATTGGCAAACGCATCAAAGATATCTGATGCAAAGATCATCAGGTTTGTGGAAGAGGAGCGGCCAGTCAAGAAGCCGTGCTGATTGGGGGAGACGAATGGCGAGATGATGGACTTGAATCTAGGCAGAACGACTTTCTCGAAGATCTTTGAGATGACTGAGAGAATCGCGCTATTGGACGATAGTTCTTGACGTCATTTATAGGTCCTTTTTTATGAACTGGAATTATATGACTTGGTTTAAAGGATGTCGGGAAAAATACCATTTGACAGAGACAGATTGAAGAGATTGGTAAGTGGGTGTTCCAGTAGGCGGCGGCAGTGCTTTACAACAGCCGGCGGGATGGAATCGGGACCGCAACCTTTGTTTGCATCAATGTTAAAAATTGCTTGGCGGACTTCATGCACTTGGATAGGGTAGAACGAGTGGGACCCCAATAATTGGGACACAGGGGTGAAGCAGTCAGGTGGTACGTCATCCTTGCCGAACACTGAGGAGAAGTATGTAGCAAATAACTCAGCAGCTGACTGGTCACTATCGGAGGAAGTTCCATTTAGAGACATTGAGGTGGGGGTTGAGGTTGAGCTATTGAGGCTTTTTACATAGGACCAAAAAATCTTGGGGTTTTGTGGGAGGACATCTTCCACGTGGTTAATGTAATTTGTAAAACAGGCTGTGGACAAGGCCTTGCATTGAGCTCTGGCGGCAGAAAAACGACAGTAGGAAGCTTCGTCCAGGTTCAACTTGTAGATCTTATGAAGACGTTTTTTTTTCAATAGTTAAGAGCTTAAGCTCTTTGGGGAACCTGGAGGGTCCGCAGCTTTTCATCGGGGAGTTCTTCTCAACTGAATGTCTAATGGTGTTTATGAGCAGCTGGAACGATTCATTTACATCCCCAGCCGAGGCTATCGCATCGAGATTGGCCACGGACAGGTCTTCGAAGACACTCTGCAGGTTACACCTTCTTGTATTGAGTATAGATCTGCGTCTGACACTTAATGGGGATGGCTGAGCAAAGACACAGTTTAGAGCTGGATGATGTCTGTCTTCAGGGATTAAAGGGTTGTATAGGAGGCCTTTCGACTTTTGAATTGACATCATAGTTTGACTATTTGATTAGCAAAATAAACATTCACACCATAAATAATATTTGGGAATATAATCTATGCTCTTGAGTTCTCTACCTACACTATTGTGGCTGATTGGCTTGGCTTGGGCTTCGCTGTCATCTGTCATCTCGTCTTGTCAGTTTCAGATTCTCCAAAGTGTCTCGTTATTTTTCAACTGTTGTCTGCTAGCAGCTTGCTTGATCCCTATCGCTTGATGATGAGTAAATAACACGATAACAAACACTGAAGAAGAAAGTAAGGCAGGATAGGAAGTTTGTCTTAGATAGAAATGAGTACTTTATTAATAATTTGTAAAACATACTAACTTAAATCATTGAACAAGTAAATTTTGAAGTGTTTAGCTTGTAATGTGTGCTTTTTTTTTAGTTTTTTAGTAAATAAGGTTAAAAACCAAAGTTATAAGGGATCTACTTAAGTAAGTATTGAGGAAATTTTATTGCTATGTAGTTTTAAGCCATTGTTTCCATAATTATCATAATTATTGAAATTTTATAGTGTTTTAATAATAATAGAATGATTTTATATGATTGCATTACATTGCAACTTGTAAGACTCAAATCTTCATCTTATGTCTACTTAGACAATTAATAGGCAATAGATTTTTTCCTTTAAACTTAGGCCTACAGATATGCATTAAGTAGGACAAGTCAAGAAGTGGACATTGTAAAAATACATAGAAATTGAGACACAACACTTAAAACGAGGTAAGAACAGAGACAAAGATTTAGATAAGATATTTTACATCAGATTAACTGGTCATGATAGGAGGCGATCGTCCATGAGTCAGCTACAGAGTAAGTTAGTAGGATTGGTCCTTTAGAAAAAGAGTTACAGTTTTCTTAAATCTATTGAGTGGAAAATTTCTAATAGCTAATGGGAGTTTATTATAAAAGAGCGAGTTGATGGTAAACATGACAGTGCCAGGTTTGCCTTACATAAAATGGAGTAACAAGGTTAAATGGCTGCACTTTACTTTAGGTCCTACACTCATTTGAATGAAAATATCTTTTATTCGATTGTTTCATTCGATATATCGTTTGGTTAGTTAAGTTAGGTAAGGTTAACCTAACCTAACTTAACTAACAAACGATATATCACATATGATATATGATATGATCACTCATATCATATATGATATAACTCATATGATATATGAGTGTAGGGCCTAAAGTAAAGTGCAGCCCAACAGTATTGAACAGAAACATAAGCTCCGACCTGCCCTCCTCACATGCCTAAAAAAGATCTAATCTTGTCGCACATTTTTGTTGGCTGCACTTTACTTTAGGTCCTACACTCATTCGAATGAAAATATCGATTATTCGATTGTTTCATTCGAATGAGTGTAGGACCTAAAGTAAAGTGCAGCCAAGGTTATAATGCCTAAATCTAGTGAGGTGATCATGATGAGCATTTTGAGGAGTAAAAGAGTTGATATTTTGTTTGACATCTTACTAAGGTGTTACACCTACAGTAGACTCAAGTCAACAATCAAAGCACTCCACGTCTAAAATAACTCAGGCATTTATTAGATTAATTAATGCTTATCTAGAAGTGATGGTTATATGAATTATATAGTATCTGTACTCGATTTTTGAAATTTTTAGTTTCGTGCTACTTGAAATTCAACGCTAATTCCAAAAATCACATTCTTTTACTGCGTAGGCCTAAAACAACGGAGAAGCCCAAAAATTAAAAAAAAACCGATAAACAACCTAAATTTCATCAAACCTGTCATGTTGGTTTTAAAAAATAAACAGCATATAATGGAGCAGATCATGAGAATTTTTTTTCATCCGATGTAAAAAAAAAACGAGATAGCTTACTTATAACAAAAAGGCTAGCCTACTGTTGCTACATTGTCAATATTCAAATATCAGGGCTAGAGATATACAAGGGCTGGCTCACTCCTTTGATGTTAGCCGTCGCCGCCTGATCCTACTTCCCCTCCCCCGCCCCTCCTCAGTGACGTAGCGGAGATACATCGGCGCGGTGCGTGACGGTAGCCTAGCACGGCAGTGCATATGTCGCCCGGAATCTACGCGCATATTAATAATTGTGTTTATAATAATATAATTTATAGTGTGATTTTTAAAGCGGGTTTCGTTAACCCTCCAACTTGCAATGGGCAAACTCTGTAGTGGCAAGGCATTTTTGGCGATTTTGAAATCATATTTTCGAAAATTCATATAAACTAAACCAACAGATCAAACCTATTCGAACCGTATTTATTATTTCCAACTTGAAGTGTTCGTTATGAAATGAAGAATTTGAAAATGGCAACGAAATAAATATTAAAAATATTGTAGAAAATATTGTCAGTAGGTAAAAAATTGCTGCATGAACCAAAAATGTTTCATAAGATATACAAATTGTTTGGAATTTGTAAAAAGATTCCAATTACCATCTATACAAAGTTATGGCCCAAAAACAATAAAATGACAAGTTTAACGATTTTGCACAACAAATTTCACATAAAATCCAAATAAATGTATTATCAAGAGATAAAGTAAAAGTAAACATTTTTAGGCAATAATATTGGAGATCAAATGAAGTAAGAATTGTTTATGTATACTGATAATTTCAATAGATGTTTATGACTTTTAATACATGTTTATATTTGTCTTGAAAAATATTTTGTTATTCACACGTATATATTATTTTAAAAACCCAAACCAACTATATACAATGAAAGTAAACTTATTCCCCTACATGAATATACATAGCTATAAAAGCAAATATAAAAAAATAAATATTTTATATAGCTTTTTTCTATAAAATGCTGCTGTGCCTTTTTCATTTGGCGATTAAATCGTTTGTTAATTATGACGAAATGTTTCGAAAACGGGCTAAATGTAATGTCCCAGACCTCAAATTAAGTAAGTAGGCCTATATCCACATAAAACAGTTTATAAACTAAATAAGTACAATTTTTACAACTAATAAATACGATTTAAGTGATAAAGTCAAACCCGCGATATTCGTTGTTGGTAAACAGTCAATGAAGTTCACAAAAACTGGCTAAAAAATAGTGTCTCAAGTTTCTAAAAGTAATGTCACATTACAGTCGAGGCACAATAAACAATATCGTAACCAAACATTTACAACGTATGTATAATCACGATGTAAACTGATAAAGTAAAATCACACCCAAACTCGACTTGTTAGTTATTGGTCAACAGAGATTGAGGTTAGTTAGTCAGGCAACTTAATGTATTTTTGCAACTATATGTTATTTTAATGTATTGAAATATGTAGGGCCTATAATAAAATGTAATTGATTAATTGAAATTCTTTTCCTTCCTGTAAAAGTTACAAAATACTAAGTATAGGTAATGTATTTTTATTAACCTCAATTAATCCTAAAAGGTATGAATAAGTAATAAATAAATACAATTAATAATCCATACATTAAGATACATTCGAGCAATACGAACACAGATATTACACAGTAACTTTAATGCATTGGATCAATAACTACAGTAATCTTAGCCATCGCTTTACATTCCACTCCCATCCTTAAATATCTAATAAAGTTAATTTTTTACTTATTAAAATTGGTGTTATACGTAATCCTATTTGAAAATCAATTACTTTTATAAAATAGCCTACATTAATACCTAATAAAAAATGTCCAACATAGAGCTTAATAAATGCTAAATGTGCGGTAATACCAGCGCTCACACAGGCAAAGATATACGGTGCCGGGAGCCCGAGGTATCGCCGTGACGTCACAGCGGCGGAGTGGTGGGGAGCCACCTGGCATCACTTTCTGAGCTCGCGTGGCCTAGCCCTTGTATATCTCTAGCCCTGTTCAAATATGGTACGTAAAAGCGTAAAATGTTGCATCTTGCTTGTCACATCTCACTAAAAATAACAAATAACCGAATAACTTAAACAGATGCTCTCTTTCTGCTAGACTTGGTTCGGCTTTGGTAGTGAACGAGAACAAGGATTCCCTCGGACTGGCCAGCAGACGTGAATTGAAGGACTGGGAGCATGAAACAGACGATTAACTAAGGACGTAGCTTACAATGCTAGCCAAAGTGAAACCAATGATAAAAAAAAAAAAACGATAGGCCTAGTGGAGAATATGAAATTTACATTTTTCAGTCTTTGCATACGGTAACGATATTTGCAAATCTTAACATTTATTTTATTCCAAAAGTGCCATTAGGCTATATAATTTATTTTAATAGACAGCAAAAAAGAGGAGATTTCTCACTATATTTGCAGAAATCTCCCGGAGCTAAATTTTGAACGTCAAAATCCTGTAATCTCCAGGGATATAACAACCCTAGTTATGACTCACAAGTGTGTCGTGCCGGGGTGCAATAGTAAACACACAAAAGCATTAAAAACTGAAGGGTACATGCAATTATTTCACTTCCCTCTAGAAGGTCCGTGTCAAGATGAGTGGGGTTAGTGCTATACATTTACACTTGATCAAGTAACACGTTCTGATTAAGAAAATACACATTTGAAGTGAAAGGTAAAACTCACACCACAGTTAAACATAGATACTTTATTAGCCAAGATCCCAAAAGTAAGTCTTTAAGCTCAAAACAACAATACAATAAAAACAAACATCAAATATGCAACATATGATAACAATTATAAAAATACCAAACAGCACATCTTCTCTTTTCTCTTTTTTAAATTTATTTATAAAAATCTGAATCACAGTATCTAAGAGGTGGTTTTACACTTCTTTTAGGCAGGGCCGGTTCTAGGAATTTTTCAGAGTTAAGCGAACACCCGAATCAGCGCCACTTAGGATTCCCCCCACCACCCCCCTCCCCCAAACCAATAACATAACATAACCGTATTTGTGAATTTTTTCCCAATAATTTTGGGAAGAACTTTTTTATAAGTTTAGGTTAGAAGAATGCTTGCAATAAAAGACTGTTTATTATTCGTATAAATTTAACATGTTTACTCATCATATAAACTTTAGCAAAACCAAGGCCACACTAAAAAACAGGCCGTAATGCCAGTCAATCATGACGTCACGATAGAAGACGGCAATGACGTAATTAAGGTTATATTTTTGTTTTCCATGAAAAGATTAAAACAAGCAGCTGATCACAAACGGTAAACATTACATCATTGCCGTCTCCTATCGTGATTTCTTTGGGCTGACTGGACTCGCCACCAGATGATTTAAACAAAAAATCTACTCATTGATTTGGCTTTTTTTATCTTCCTCTTACAAATTTGCCTTGCCCTTTTTATAATAAGTGCCAGACTTTTTTTCTGCCATTGTTTTCTTAGTATCGGCTCGCTAGATGTTTTACTAATTTATTCAGTTTATACTTTCTTCTTATTTAATGCGCTAAATATAAATTAAACTTAAAACACTCGTAATCATTCACTTATCTACAATCATGAATCACCAAAACAACGCCATTACGATAC